AGTTTTGTGTTTAATAAAATTCAAATTTGTCTGTTTAATAATAAGGCTACAAAAGGGAGAAAGTAATCACAATTACCAATCTTAAATTATGTTTATCTAAGCTTATAAATGCTTTTAATTTTTTAAGACAGATATGGAAGTATATTAGCTAACATTAAAAAAGAATTACTTTTATAAGCTTTAAAACAATTGTTACCTCAAACTGCTAAGGAGCTATGAATATCACAGTACAATAATTATTACTTGTTAAATATAATTATAAGTAATCTAAAGGGCCTTAATGGATTTTCATTTAAATATCTTGTTAGTACTTAAGTAATGCATTTGTAACTCAATCTAAAATATCAGTGAAAATAAGTACATTTAGGGGGCAGCTAGGTGGCGCAGTGGATACAGCATTGGCCCTGAAGTCAGGAGGACCTGAGTTCAAATCCGGCCCCAAACCAAACACTTGACACTTACTAGCTGTGTGACCCTGGGCAAGTCACTTAACCCCAATTGCCTAAAACACACACACACACACACACACACACACACACACACACACACAAAGAAAAAAAAGAAAATAAGTAAATTTAAAAACCTTTACAAAAATATGAAAAAAGTTATAATTCTCATAGGTCAATCCTAGAATCCAAAGTTTTTAAATGATGGGGACAATTTTTTAATTTATAAAATAAATATGAACAAAACAGGGGCAAAGTTTCTATTTCAAATGTGCATTTGCCAATGAAAAAGGGTTAAAACCAGAGTCTGACAATTTAACAAAACTGGTTTTCAAAAAACTTAGGAGAAAAAATGCATACCACATAGTTTTATCTAAAAGGAACATATTTAAAGCTCTCTAATATGAGAATAAGCATATAAGTGAAAAAAAAATGACCTGGCTATTATTTTTCCTCTGAATTGATGGAAGCCATAGTGAGTAATGATTATAGGTCAGTGGCACATGGCTTGTTGCTATATAAATTGTTATAAACAAGGACTACTTACATAGCACCCTTGGTTCACTGATGACATATAGCCACACCAGATGGTATCAGCAGTTCTTTCCCCAGGAACTGAAGTGAATAACGGCTCTGAAGTCACATCAGGTGACTTCACCAAGCTGACTGTTAGAAGCACTTCTCGGGTGTATCTATCTGAATGGAGATGTCTCCTCCAGTTTTTGGTAGCACAGAACACAGTACAAAGCTATCAAAAGAAAGTGGAACTACCCTGAACCTCCAAAGTGGAGATGCTGGTGTCTGGTAAACCTACAAATCTTTGAAGAACCAAATGATAAGTAATGCCTAGCTTAAAAAAAAAATCAATTATAGTCACACTAAATGGCAATGGTAGTAGGCCACTGCAAAGCTCAACTGTTAAAGAAATAGGGAATAAATTTATTCAGTGGAAAAGCACTACTGGAAAAAAAGACCAAAATTTTAGTCCTTGTGGAAGGCAAGGTCAGAGTTGTAATAAATGAAGAATGTCGCCCTTGAAGTTTTGCCTGAAAGATGTCTTGTCTTCCATGGTAGTAATGGTTGTCCAATCTCTACTAGAATGAGATAGAGGCAGACAATCATTCAGAAAAGAATTTCTAATGAAGTAGTATCAAAGACAAATATCATGTCCTTTCTTTTTACATAGCAGGCATTCAATAAATATTTGCTTTGACATAAAATTCTGGTTTCTCAGTCTGATGTCCTTACATCAACCGAAATATTTAAAAATGGCCTTCATAATATTAAGAACATAAAGGATGGGTTTTCCTGAGAGGGTCTGCGGAGGCAGGAGGAAAGACTGAGTGAAAATGCCCTAGTTTAGATAGAAAAAAGATACCAGCTTAGATACAAATATATATTTAGTCCTGAGTTTGGTTGCACCTGAAAACTGAGGCAGAAGACAAATTAATAATTATTAGTTTTATGCTTACTAACTTGACTCAAAGCTTCTGAGTAAAATGACCTTTTAACAACATATAGGTACTTCTGTCTATTTTTAAGTGTAACGTTTCTTAAATAACACTGGCTTCTAATTTGTTTGGACCAGAAAGTGTTCTCCTCTCCCCTTTTGGTACAGATCTGTGACTTCATAATATTACTATAACAATGTCCATTTCCAACTGGCAGCTTGATAAAAGTTATGTCCTTTTCTCTATGAGCTTTGACCAAATGTCCTGGGTCTCACTGTACAGCAGAGTAAAATAAGTAGGCACATGCCTGCTGATAGATGTGTATGTGATATATGCTTAAGTGAAACATGTGGTATGTATGTGAATGTGAAATATTCTATCTTCCTATGATCTAATAAATGTTCTAACTCTTCAAATTCTCTGAGATCTTGAAAGATCTGCCAACATGAATTTCTCAAATCTAAAAACATTAAAAAAAATAGAAACTGCATGGAAAAATAAAGCTACTTCAAAAATAAACATTCAGTTTTTAAAATAAGTAATTATTTTTTAATAAGAAAGTTGCTGATATTTCCAACTAAAAGTGAAAAATATATTCTACAGCTCCTAGAGATGCTCATTAAAATGTAATGAAGATGATTATGCATTTAAATATAGCAAGATCAGCCTTTAGGCTTCCAGAGTAGAAAAATCTCATCACAACAAAATGTATGCTACATATTAGGCTAAGGTTGGAGCCAAGAAAACTTTCATATGATTAACAATGTTCCCCTATATATATAGCCATATAGATGTCTCGATCAAGTCAGCAAGCAATTACCTATAAACTGTAATCAACCAAATCTCGTCACAATGTTATGAACAGTATGCTAAGCAGCAATGGATGGACCTCCTAAATAAGGTTCAGCACGGAACCAAATACCTAAAAATTTGCAGCTTTGGACATTTGCCCCAGAAGTCCCAGGAGTCAACTGTATGCAGGAGGTGGAGATCTACAATGGATAGTACTAATTACTAAACAGAAGAAAGACAGAATAAGTGAGAACTGTCTAGCTTACCCCAGGCTAGAGTGGATAATGCCAAACCAAATCAGAGCTGTCTGAAAATGGAATGGACTGGCTTGTGAATTAATTTCTCATCATTAGAGGTTTGCAAGCAGAGGCTCAAAGTTTTAGAAGGTATTTATTCATTGGGCAGGAATGTGGACTAGATTTCTTCTAAGGTTTCTGTTTTACTACAGAGGATCTTATGATTCCAAAGAGAAACTGAAGAACTTATCTCTGAAGTTGTGGTCTGAGAAAGCCATAGAAAGGTTTGAAGAGCTCTAATAAGTCTTTACCTCTAAAGGAAGCAAAGTTCCTGTCTATCTCAGGAAGAAGATTAAGAAAACAACTGGAGTGAGGAAATAAACAAAAGTACATGACAAGGATAAGCAGTAATTCTACCTTAAGTTAAAGAGGTAAATGCAAAAGATTGTCCAGGAGGGTAGGCCCACTACTCTTGCCCAGTAATATCTCTACCACCAGTCAAAAAAGCACAGCTTTTTGTCATACATAGTTTTAGGGAAGGAAGAAGTATTGTTGCTATCTGGCACAACTGTTACTGTCTCTGAAGGAGACATGCATCTGTAAATTCAAGTACTACACAGGAAAGAAAGAAGGAATAGAGTATGAGAGGGAAATGTCTTTTCTAAGTAATTATCCTTTTAGGTATACATTAGTTGTTGAATTAATAATTACAATAAAATCATCTTATGGAATTTCAAATGCAATCAACTCACTAAAAAAACTTTATTCTGACTAGGTCAAATGTTTTAACACACTTTTATACTGTTTCTCCCATTTCCACCATTTTTTACAGCAAACACGGAAAACAAAGCTTTGCCTTATGAGGGAGGACATTTATCAGGTGGCTTCCTGGAGCTCATTTAACAAATAGCCACAATTTTAACTCTGCTCAACCTGTTAATGACAATTAAAAATTTCACATCTTCTAACTACCTCCCCATGTTATATAATATATTTTACTGGAACAATGAATATTTCTAGAGTACTTCCCATATAACTGTGAAATTATAAGCATCATCCTGACCAAAAACAGTGCTTTGAGACCATAAAAAATTGGATTCTTTGGGTTCAATGTCATCTGTTCCCCACAATATTTCAAGAATCTAAAATTGAAATAAAAATGTTAGTAAAAAAGAATCCAAAATTGAAGATACTAAGTTTGCACAGAATAGCAATAATGATTTCAGGTTCTTTGGCGTCTTTAACTGACTTGAATCACAAGAGAATAGGGCTGAATTAAAGAGAGGTATACTTTTGAAACAGAGATGGATGGCTTCATTAGCAATCATGGCAACAAACACTCAATGTCTCATTTCCTATTATTGTGAGTCTTTACCTTGGGGTATTGGGAGCCCAAGGGTCTAAATAAAAACAAAATTCAAAACGGTAACCTCTTCATTATAAATGTCAACACCACCGGGACTGTTTTCTTTGCCTTTCTTTATATCCCCAGTGCTTAGCACAGTGTCTGGTACATAGTAGGTGCTTAATAAACGTTGTTGACTTGAACACATGACTTTCAACACCACGTTTAAGGACTTACACAGTTGTTAAATTGTACCAATTTTTGCAGCTTTCAGATTTTCTTCTGTTAGTTTTAAAATAATTAATAAAGATACATTAAAAATTAATAAAAATACATGTTTTATAATAAAATAAAATTAGTAAGGAAATACCACCAAGATTTAATTTCTAACTTTCTTCTAAGGTTTTCTTCAAATTTTCACTAGCAAATAAACAGATATTGGTGTTTAAAATTGATTTACATAATAAAAAAATAAAAAAGGTTAGCCAGAGAAAATTTTGAAATATTTCAAGAAATACAGTAAAAGTTATCAAAATTATAATGTAGCATGTTAGTATGTTTCAATTATTGATGACTATAATGCTCACCATAATTTTTCAAACCAAGAGAACACAGAAGTAACACAATAGGCTAGAAGGATGTGGAATAGTTGTTTAAAACAAACAAATAAAAAGTATTTCATGTTGAATAATCATAGACAATGAATGCTGGCAATGAAGTAAAACCTTACCCAGATCTAGTCGTTTTGAATTCCACCTTGAGGATAGGTTTGCATGGTTCTGGTTTTTTCCCATCCTTTAATTGCTTTCCTAAAAGATATTGCCTTGTATTAAATTCTAAAGTATTCTACATGATAGTTTTTAAAATGAAAGTGAAATGTGATAAAATGTAACTGGATACATTTTAAAATTATTTTGGAGGGGAGAACAGAGAGACATACAATCTGTGCTTAAGGAACTAGTAGGGAAAAAATGTGTTAGTAACTTTCATTTATCAACGTATTTCCAGAAAGGGGGTGGGGGGTGTCAGATCTTAATTTCTTAAGTACAGAAGTACAGAAGATGAGCAGAGCACATTTTCAGTTTGACAAAATAGTTTCAATACATTTAGGAGCATCTGGACTTTGACAAAAAAACTTTTAGCATAAATGTTTCTACTTGGGTTATGAAATGAGAGAATCAGAGTTGGAAGAGATAGCATAAACTATCTAATCCAACCCACACCTTAGCAAAAAACCCTTCTACAGCATTTCCAGTTAGGGAGTCACAGAGCTTTTGGTTTAAAGCCCTTACATGAGAGGAAGTTTACTATTTTCCAAATTAGTTCATGCAACTTTTTGATGGATCATATTACTAGGAAGCTTTCTCTTACATCAAATTAAAGTATACATCAAGTCCTATAAAAGGAACTATTAACTTGATGAAAATCTCATCCTTTTCACTATAGATGAATTTCTACTTCTAATTCAGAATTAAAATAGTACTAAATAAGCACTTGTGTAGCCTTCTATCCTATAAACCTAACTGACCACTGAAAAGGGAAAAGTAACCACAACTATTATTATAATTGCTAAGTTTTAACATGCTCCTTACATATACTCACAAAAAGAGGGAAAACAAAAGGAATGTAAGAGACATGATCTTGCCATAACTACTATACTTATTGCCAGTCTTACATCTCTAACTGCCTTTCAGAAATTTCAAACTGGATGTCCTGTAGAAAATTCAATGTGTAAAAAATTGAATTCATTATTTTTCCCCCTAACTCCACCTAAAACATCCCTATTACTTTTGAGTATATTATTATTTTCCCAGTCCCTTGGGCTCACAACCTGGGGAGTCATTCTGGATTCCTCACTATCATTCACCACATAAAATCTGTTGCCAAGGCCTATCAATTTCAATATTCCTCCTTCTCTCTTCTGATACTGCCACCATCCTGGTGAGAGCCCTCATCACCTCATGCCTGGACTACTGCAATATCCTGTTGATGGGTTTGCCTGCTTCAAGTCTATCCCCACTCCAATCTACCTCCTATTCAGCCACCAAAGCGGTTTTCCTAAATGAAGTACAGGTTCAACTATGTCACACTCCACCCCACAACTCAACAAATTTCAGGGGCTCCCAATTGCCTCAAGAAAAAATACTAAATTCTGTTTGGTGTTCAAAGCTCTTCACAACTTAATCCTCTTCTACCTTTTCAACCTTCTTATACCTTACTCCCTGCCACATACTCTTAGATCCAGACATTGGCCTCTTTGTCATTCCATGAACAAGACACTCCCTATCTTAGCCTCAGGCATTTTTTCTGGCTGTCCCTCAAGCTTAGAATGCTCTGCCTCCTCATCTCCACCTATAGCCTTCACTGGCTTCCTTTAAGTCTCAACTAAAATATCACCTTCTACAAAAAGCCTTTCCCAAGTCCTCTTAACCTCAGTGCCTTTCCTCTTATTTGCATGTCTGTACATATTTCTTTGCTTGTTGTCTTCCCCATTAGTGTGAGCTCCTTGAGAACAGGGACTATCTGTTGTCTCTTTTTGCGTCCTACAGTGCCTGGGACATAGTAGGTACTTAATAAATGCTTACTGATTAATTGATATAATATAAGCCCTCTGTTTTACTAAAGGTTTAACGATGCAAAGCAATTCAACACATTGATCATGTCTTGAAATTTATGTCTCCTTAGGCAACTTTTTACCTTTTTTGCTAAGAGGTAGATGATATATTTCATCATCAGTCTTCTAAATTCATGATTGGCCATTGCATTATTTCCATTATCTCTTCCGAAAAATCTCAAATAATTTTGACATATGCATAGGACACATCTTGTTGGAATACAGTTATTAAAGTTATGTTTTATAGACACAGTAATGCACAGTTGGTGGAACTATGGACTAGCTCAGACATTCTAGAAAGTAATACAGAACTATGCCCCCCCAAATTATTAAACTCTGCATAATCTTTGACCCAGCTATGCTAAATACTAGGGCTAGGCTTATATCTCAAAGAAATCAAATAAACAGGAAACTGATTTATATATACAAAAAATTGACAAGGATTCCAAGAAGGAAGTCATGAAGAAAGGGGAGATCAGAGAGAAAGGGGAGGGCATCAAAAAGGAAGGGGAAAAAGGCAAAGGGGAAAGGGAGGAGGGCAGGAAACGAAGGGAAGGAAAAGAATGAAGGAAACGTGCAATTGTTAAACACTACGTAGGTATTATTTTTTTCCTTTTTTTGTTGTTATTGTTCAATGGGAGGAGGAAGAGGGACAGATTATTGATGCATGTAAAAATGAACATATATATATATTTTTTTTAAAAAGCTTATGTTTTACTCCTACAAAATCAAAAGTTTTTTATAAAGGTGGTAAAGTATGCATGTGAATACGTAGTTATTATTCCTTTGGTACTACCAGGCACTGTGCTAAACAAGGGAGATACAAATACAAACAAAAATAAAGACAGTGTCTACCCTTAAGGAGCTTACATACTAATGGGCAAAGGTAGCACACAAAAGAGGGTTAAGGGGGTAGAAGGAAGTCCAGAATGTTAGGAACTAGTCAAGGAAGGGAATGAAGGCAGGCAGATCGGGATGGCCCCCTCACAAAATACTTCAGGGTCAACAGGTCACAAGAGTGGTGAAATATTCTAGGCAAAGGACTGAAGGGAATTCCAAGATGAGACAGCATTAGAGGAATGATTTTGAAGGCATGAAATTCGGAAACAGGGGCAAGAGGGGAATCCGGGGCAGCTAAGTGGCGCAGTGGAAAGAGCACCGGCCTTCAAGTCAGGAGGACCTGAGTTCAAATTCAGCCTCAGACCAAACACTTGACACTTACTAGCTGTGTGACCCTGGGCAGGTCACTTAACCCCAATTGCCTAAAAAATAAATAAATAAATAAATTTTAGAAAGAGGGGAATCTAAGGAATTGAAAACTAAAGAGCTATCTTATTGGGAACTGGCTAAACAAATCATGGTATATGACGGTAATGCAATGTTACCATACCAAAGGAAACTGATGAAATGAAGTTTCCAAAGAAACAGGAAAGACCTTTATCAAATGACAGCATAAAGTGAGCAGAATTAGGAGACCAATTCATAAAATGACAACACTGTAGAGAAAAACAACTTAGAACTCTGATCAATACAATAAGAAATCATATGTTCAAAAGACTGAAGATAAAATGACAAGCCATTTACCTCCTTCTATAAAGGTAACGAACTTAAAGCGTAGAGAGAAAGATATACACATTCTTGGGCATGGGGCATGGCCAGTGTGGGAATTTTGTTTTGCTGGATTATAAATGCTTATAAGGACTTAGTTTTTTTTTTTTCTTGTTGAAGTTCAAGGGAGGGAGAGGGAGCAGGTAGTGAGAAGGCCAAATTATCAATGCATGTAAAAATGAACATGCAGATTTTAAAACCATGTTTTGCCTCTCTGTAATAAAATGTTTTTTATAAAGATAGTAAAGCAAGCACGTAAGTGGCTCTTATTCCTTTAGTACCTTTTGGTGGTCTTTGATTAAGATTTTTTTCTCCCTATAGCTTTGCAACTTCCCTTTCTTTAATTATACTTAGAACTGATCCCTCAATTACCTTAAAATTGTATCACTTCCAGCATGGAACTCTTCCTCTAGATTAAGTCCTGTTATTTCCCTCTTTTTATTGTCTCCAGTGCCATTTTCCATTTTCTCAGGAAACACATATAATAGGACTGTGATGTTAGACCCTAAATTTAGCAGATCTACTGTTCCTGACGATAAATTTGCCATAAAAATTTTTACAGATCTTTTCCACTTATTCTTCTATTTCACACCCTTTCATTTTCGATCTTAAACACTCTAAGAATGACTTTGCTTTATGGAATCTTTATCAGGCTTTCTTTAAACTTTTTATCCACCACTTTTGTGTGATCTGGTTATAATCTTCCCCCTAAATTGTATAAACAAATTTATATTCAAAACTGGTAGTATCCTGAGCTATTCTCTCTTGATCCCTGTCAACCAATTCTTTGTAGACAAATTCAATTTGTAGGCTTTTAAATTTCCAAAAAAAAAATTATAAACAGTTCTGATGTTATCTCCACACTTAAGCTATTTTTTAGTACAATTGACCTAAATAGGTCAAATTGGATTCATTTTAGTAGCTATATCATTTTTATTGCGCTAGCTTTGATTCCTAAACAAGTTCATAGTCAGATTGTGAATATAGTTCATCCAAAAATAACTCCCACATCAGTAAATAGTTATTTCCTTATAATCAATTTCATTTTTGTGATAATATTTGATGCTTGGCACTTCTATCACTTCCTTTTTTCCCCCTGAACTATTCATGATATCCGGGCACGAGGCTTCTGTATAGTCTAAGAGTCTGTGGTCTCATTTCTTATTATTGAATCACATTTTACAAAATATCTTTTGCCATCTTTGTCGGTGACGACTTTGGTTTTGAAGCTGCAGAGTATTTTAATATGTTGATTTAATCTGAAGAGATACATTTGGTTCTTAGCAGAATTTCTCTACCTCTTTATCTTCTGCAATAGATGTAAGTGCATAAGGTCCAATCGTTTTCATGGTGTTCTTTTTTGCAAGTATTTATTATGAGCACTGCAATGTGTGACTAATAAAATATATTTCTTCTTGTCTTTGTGATATATAATGTCAATTCCTTTGTTTTTAATTTTTCCAAGTAAAACCTATTAGCTGTCTCTCCATTTAACCCCCACTACCTTTTTTGATTCTGGTTTTCTTGATAGGATTTAATAGGTTTGACATGATTCAATACTTATAGTAGTATTCCCAATAGTTATTC